TTTTTTCCTTACTTTAGCTTTCAAATGGAATCCCTATAGAAAGCTGGTTCATGGATAAAAATGACAACGAACTCCTAAAATTGATTCCGTTTCTGGAGAAACTTGTAGAGCTGGTGAGTGTTTCCTTGATGTGGCTCTACCCCACCTGCCGCCCCAAAATGTTAGTTAGTTCTTTTAAGTGTTTTCACCTATTTTAAGATTTTTTTTGAGTCACTGAGGTTTCGGCTGCTAAGTCACGTGTGGCTCTTCTGGAAGACGCTGCTGGGGGGAGAGCTCGGCGCGCGCACGGGGGGCAGTGGCGTCGGGCTGTCGCTGCTCCCAGCGGCGCCTTCAGCCGAGGGCCGGGACGTCGCGTCCCTCGCGATGGCCTCGAGCCTCTGCAGGCCTGTGGGGGAGGGTGCCTGCTCTTGGCCGGGACGGGGGCCCTGCTGACCCCGCAGCCAGTGACTCCTGTGGTTACCTGGGGAAATCTCGTGTCGTTACACGCGCCCGTGCTCGAGGCCGGTCCCGTTAACGTGCCGGGGTGGGACGGCTGACCCGGTTGAAACCTGACGCGCGGATGTGCCGCTCCTCCTAAAACCTCCACGTTTTTTTCCCCCCCACAGAACGAAGATGTCCGACCTCACATCAGAGACAGATTTCGCTTGCATGACTTGCTACCCCCAGACTAAAGCCTTTTGTCTAGTTACTGAAGGGGGAGAAAATGCAGGACCCTTTTGGACTAAAACAAAACATTGCCATTACTGTTGAAATTTTGCATTTTTGTACCCCGTCTTGCTTTTCTTATCTTTGGTGCCCAACAATAATCAAGGGTTACGGAAAGAGACTTTCTACACCTGAGATCGAACCCGTGCAGTACAATACCGTACACGCAGTAGGTAGGCTAGAACAGAAAAGTCTTTAGAACTAGTGCGACTCCAATGAGATTTTTTTATGTACAGGACATCTGCAGTTTATAAAGAATTCTGTTTCTGCCACCAGCAGTTTGACCTGTAGAAACACAGGATTTTAAGAAATAACAGAGATTGAAAATGGACTCTTGTTTTCTCTCTGTTTGGTGCTCTAAGTGGGTTTGTAGCCACTTTTCTGTTACTTTTAAGATTCTCATTTCAACAGGAATGGCCAGTAAAAGTCGTTTTATTTTTCCTGTTAAGGTTTATAACCTTTTTACATTTTTGACCTGTATTAGATTAGAGTTTCATTATGCATTCCTTTTAGTTGAGGCGCTTCATAGTTTTTCTGGAAATAGCCAAATTTTCTTAGTTTTTTATTAAACAGTTGGATGGCCGTTTTCCTGCTTCGTCTGCCTGCATACTGTATATTTGTTTAAAGATATTCTCTAGTTTTAGTCCACGTAAGTTTCATTTAGAAAGAAAAACCCCGCATTTATATTTTCTTTCTGTAATATTCTACTGTAGTTGAGATCTTTTCAAAAATCAAGAGACTGGCTAGATAAGAAGAATATAAGAATTACTAATATTCAGAATATTTTAAACCATTGTGATGGCATGTACTCTGGACAGACGATCCCTTGCAGTGGCACAAACAACCGATGGACAAGGAATACCTCAGACGATGCTGTGCACGCAGATCTTGACAGGAGAACTAGTTTGGTCACCTCCCAGGTTTGACGCGATGCGATCGCTGCTGCCTTCCGCTTCCTCCGAGGCCGAAGCGTTCCGCCCCGTGGCGCGGGGCCGGGCGGCGGTTGGCGCGGGCTGG